GGGCAAGCCCAGCGGCGGCGAGGCCGCCTCCTCCAGCGAAGGCGGGGGCTCCGTGGTTCCCGACAGGGAGCTCGCCGGCGTCACCGCCTCCGCCGCCGCCGCCGCCGCCGCCGCCGCCGCCGTCGGCTCATCGGCTCCCGACGCGGCGCTCGCCGCCGGTCCGCCCGGTAGTACCTTCTCCGCCCCCGGGACATTTCTGCCAATCGCGTCCGGCCTCGGAGTCTCGAGTGGCTGCTCGTCCTCGCAACTATCGCCCGCCTTGTGGTCGCCCGGCCCGGTCACAGACTTCATCACGGGTTCCAGGCGGTCGACGTCGCGCGAGTCTCCGAAACGATCGTCGTCGGCGTCATCGTCGTTGTCTTCGTCCCTGTCCATGTGTTGGTCAACACCACGAGAAATCAACAGACAAGGCAGGAGGGTAGCGTTGCCATGTCGGCACCACAGGCCATGTGCCGACGTTTTCGGAAGGGATTCTCCCGTTCAGGCCGTCCGAGGTTCGGCGACGAAGCAAACAAACGCAACAGGGCCCTTGCGCCGGCGTTTAGTGGACTAACGTCGACAAGACGGCTGAAGATTTTTTTCGAGAAAAAAAAACAAAACAAGGCAACTCACTTATATTCACCACCGACTGTATGGTGAAGGTGGTAAAAAAACACCAAAAAACTCTTGATTGATATTCCCCTTGTGATTGACGCCGGCCTACCGAAAAAGTGTAAAGTACATATGGATGGCGTCCAGAAGAAAATGGGATGATACGGACATGTCTCCCTCTTCAAGCGCTCGAGAGCAACTACGGGATACTGTGCCTACACATCAGCAGGAATGAATACATGTTGATTGCCTAGTCTGTGCATAGGATCTCCTGTTGTTGAGATACCGCCGGGCTGTACGTGATTCCACCTCTCACGTCTCCGTCAAGGACTGCTGTCAAGCAAACGGCAGGTAATCTCATCGTGGATGTACAACAGCTGTGGACGCTTGCACGAACAATGCCTAGCTTTGTTTTTCAACCGACCCAAACGTGGCTGCTGTCAATTTTCGGCAAACTTGAAGTAGTACAAACATGTACCAAGTCAGCGCGGCCGTTGGTGTCACGACGTCAAAACCTGTTTCACGCCCTGCAAGCCTGTCGCAAGACCCGCCATCCATTCGTCCGTCTGTACACAAAAATCAATGGGTGACATGAATGTATTATTAACCACGGCTGAGATACAAACAAACTTTGTAGTCGGCAAGTCGGACGGTCCGATCAAGTCGAAAAGTCAGAGAGGCGGCTTTCTATCTTGCGCCTGGATATTAGTCTCATGGAGGAACGAGGGACGGAGAAGACGGAGAGGTGAAAAAGTAAGCCCGGTTGCCGAACACGGCCTCGCGAGTCGCCAAAACATAGAGGGCGTCGTGGTGTGTTTCGGTATGTACTGGTAGTCGTTTCTCATACATGTACAAGTATAGATGTCTTGTGCCAACCAACTTATTCTGGAAGTCAATATCTTGCAACCTTTCGGTACAACGTCCGGCTGAACCAGCCGCGGGCACACCAAAGGCCTTATACAAGGAGGCCTTCATCCGCCTTCCTTCTGCGGTTCTTGCCTGAACTGTTATCGCGAGAGAAGGATTCAGCCGTTCCTTGACCGCTACACCGCAGCACATTCACCGAGTCCTCCCCGGTTTACCGGATTTCTACGATGCACCCCTATTGTTATTGCTCTGTCGTCACCATGAGCAATCCTACAGCAGTACATGCAGTAGAAAACAATCCAGCCCCTGTAGACCCAGACTACTGCTGTACCCTCTAGTAAAGGTTACCAGTCGTCAAAATATGACTGTAGAAAGGCTCAAGGGAAACAAACTGCTCGAAATGTTCGTCGGATTCCAACGGTTTCCCAGCTGTTGCTTTGCCTTTCGTGCTGTTGGTCAATCGACCGTCCAGACTGCAGTGCCAACAAGTTGTACGCACCCCACGAAACGCCACGGGAACATGACAAGTAGTCGAATTCATGAAATATTTCAAAGGTTCGTATGGGTTGGAGAGGGATGTTCCGTAATTTGAATTCATGAATGAGACTGTTTTCTTTCTCAGAAAAAGAAAACACAGCAGTAGAGGCTTGCTTTGAATTGTCGCTGTGGGCAGCGGCAGCGGCACAGCAGTGTCCAGAAAGATCGACGGCATCAACACGCACCGCAGGGTCGCGATCGCCAACAACGCGGAACACAACAACAACAGCAGTCAGTCGCAGTTGTACAAAGCAGTTCACCAGATATAGCACCACCACCCAACCACAACACCCACCTCCCAGTTGCATGCTCATGATCATCACGGTCACCACCACCACCACCACCACCACCACCACCATCCTCCTCGTCGTCGTCGTCCCAGGTTTCGTCCCGGGCCGCGGCATTGGCGGCCCACGGCCTTAGCTTCTGCAGGTCGCCATCGCTCTCCTGCTCGGAGCGAGATAGCGAAGAGGACAGCCAAGACACAGAAGAATCCGAGGAAGATGGAGGGGGAGCTGGCGAGGAGGGCAGCGGGCCGCTGCTGCTTCTGCGGTCTTCGTTGTTGCCGCTGGGCGCCGCTCCTCCTCCTCCTCCTCCCCCACCTCCTACAGCCGTTGTTGCTGCTCCGGCGATGGTAGCCATTTGTTGCGGTGGCTTTCACTCGGTCGGTCGGTCTGATGATGGGGGCCGTTTGGAAATGTGTGTGCTCAGCAGGCGTCGCCGCTGTCGATATGGCCTGTTCCTTGACGATGCGACGAGCGGGTTTTGTATGCAGGACACGCACGACAGCGAGCGGTGGTCCTTCCAGGAGGGAGGAGATACGACGAAACCGACCGGAGCGTGGAATCCGGTTAAAAGAGGGGAACTAGACACGGTTGGCGAAGGCTCGCGGATCTACATCTATTTTGCTACGAGGTCGATGATGGGCAACAACAACGGTGTTGCGCCTCTTTGCTGCAACTTGCGTTTTTGATCTGCGAGAAACGAAAGGGCCGATGAAAGAGCGCTAAACGGTGGGGTATATGCAAGTGACTCCAGTATTGTGCGTTGTTTGCCGTTCGTTTCAAAGTGTGTGTTATACAGCAGCATGTGTTGCTGCACCTGGTGCAAGCTTGCCTGGCATGCATACATACATATGGATACCAGCCCGGCCCCAGTCCGAACAAAAACCCATCGACTTGAACATGTAGACTAGAAACAATCAATTCAACTATTTGCCTTGTGGGCCGCACACACAACAAGATTGAAGTTTCACGCAATGCTGCAACAACACCCGAAAACGTTAAAGAGTTCGCGCACGCAATCTGGTCAACTTAGCAGCTAAATATTAGACTAACTAGCAGTCACGGCCTAAAGGGAGCAGTTGGACCATTTCAAATTCGCAGGGGGAGCAAAGAAGGCTAGGGGAGACAAACACATGAAAGTATACGGTTACACATGGCTTTCGAGGAGCGAGACTGCGCGCGAATGGGAGCGCTCATATTTCCTAAAAGAGAACGTGAGATCACTGGACAGGGGGACTGATTCGTCTGTTCGCGTGAGATCTCAAGAATCATGAATAATTTGTTCGAGGCGTTTTGGGCCGCCTCACCGTTGAGTGGGATTGCGGCGCCTTGCGTGTGCGCCTCCAGCAGCTTCCGTTCACCCCGACACAGCAGTGAGACGATGTCCTGCCTTTAACAGCAGCACTGAGAGCAAATGCAGTGCGGAATGACGCCGATCTTCCCAGTGAGGGTCTGCTGCTGCAGGTGCCTGCTGTCACAAAAGCTCCTGTGCTGGCTGCGTGCCATTTGAACCAGCAAACAACCCCCACAAGCTCTTGAAAAAGGGGGTACGCGAGTTGCGACACCCCCCCCGCGCCACGCCAAACACTTGGCCCCGCAGCCTCGATGACAAAAAATGACCTCGTACACGCAGCCGCCGTGCTGCGTGGTGAGCACCGATGCACGTGGCGCTGGACCAACTCGAGTCGCTCTGGCCCCCGTACCGAGGTGCGGTTCTTCTCGGTGCTGCTCGAGAGTCGCAGAGACGCGCGTGCAACACAGGCGTCGCCGTTTCCGCGGGCCATGTTGCTCTCTCCCTGGACGTGTACCCTGCTTCTCCACCTGCTGGTGCTGCAACAAGAGCCGCCGCCGGCAGCACCAACACAGAAGGCAACCGCCACGCAGGAGATGGTGTGCTATCATCCGCGAACACAGAAACAACACCAGCAGGAGCTGATACCTATGCGTCGGCGTCAGCTGGCCCCGTTGGTCCTTCTCCACCGCCGTTGCGCCTCACCGTCTTGCTGGACGCCGTGCCAGCTAGCGCCCCCACCCCCGGCACCCATCAGATGGCCAGGTTCCTAACCAAGGTTCTCGCACGAAAAGCTCCGCTAGGCGCTGATGGTGCTGCTGCAGGATCGGCTAGGAAGGGAGAACGCTTGCTGGGAGAGGACGTGCCGGAGATGCTTGTTGTAGAGCACCTTGACGAAGTGAGATGATAAGAGAGCCAAAAAAGAGCGGGACGGAGACGCTGCCCCAGTGTTATTTGCAAAACTTGGCGAAACGTAAAATATCCGGCGGTTATTGTTCCGACATATGTACTCTGTTACAGCAGTATTGCTCTTACAGGCAACTATTGTTTGGCTGCAGTCGGCCCAGAATAATCTCGCCCGAACGAGATTGCAGCCAAGAAGTAGATAGCAAAGCGTGCTCACGGTTTGCTTCCGTTTCTCTGGACGTGTGTACTACTTTGATGTGCAAACTCTGGTCCCGAGCGGTACCACAAGGTTCCGTGTGCATGTTTTTTCACGTCTCTGTGATCCCCTGTTGCTGCTTCCGTTGTTGTCGTACTTTGTCCTCGGCGGTTACACCCGACCGGTGAAACGAACATAGGTTGTGTGTAGCGAGTTTGTTCGCTGTGACCGCCGCTCGGGACCATCCGCTACCAAACATGGCGGCGATGGGTCAACCAAAAGCAACAGCAAGGGCTGTAACAACGGCCTAGTCTACGCGTGTATCGAAGCCAGCGGCTTGCTACGCCTGTGGGAGTGGGGGGGAGACGCAAGTGGCCTGTGGAGCTGGAGGTATCTCAACAGCTGCAACATATGCGCCTGCCGGGAGGATCCGATCGGCTGCCGCGTGTTGACAGCCGCGATAGTCCCCGACCCCGTCGACGGCGAGGGCAACCGTAGTAGCAACAGGCGGAACCGGCTGGTGTGGGAACAGGAAGACAGCGGGGAGGGAGCCGGCCTCGGACTGGCCTCCACTCCTTCCACCGACCCGCGCTCGTCCCGCAGAGTGTGGTCTCGCAGGGTGTCCTTTGATTTGGCGGAGGGAAGCATTAGTGGCGGTAACCTCGGCTCCGCCCACCAACAGCAGCCGCAGCACGCTGCCGAAGAGGGCACCGGGGCCGGGTTCGGAAGTGGTGACGCCAGCAACAGGACCGTAGGCTCGAGATCGGAGATTTCGCTGGCCTTCTCTGCGTGCCTCTTGCCGAAGGGGATCGACGAGCTGCTCTGCAGCAGGCTGGGAGTGTGGATGCCGACCGGACCGCGAGTGTACTTGAACCATTTTCCCACGGGTCGCTTGCATTGTTTTGTCCTCCCAGGCCTCCGAGACGGTGGAACCGGGAGGAGCGATGCCTGTGCCAATGCCCGACAGGGCGGCGGGCTTGACAACCGTCGCGATGCCCATCGCGGTGGAGACGCAGACGGGAGCGGCACCTTCACGGAATCGGAAAGCGGCCCGGGATTCGGAGAGTCGGCCCTGAGAGAAGGTGGCGGCAGAGGCGCAACAAATTCTGACGATGAAGCCACCGCCGAGGACTTTGCGGAGAAGGCCTCCTCGCCTGCTTCTTCTCCGCGATGCCTGCTTGCCGTGCACGAGCCAACCGGGGACCTCATGTTGTACGATCACCACCCCTGCGCTACCGTGCGCGTGCTTTCTCTGCCGCCGGGGTCGGGCGGTCTCAAGCTGCGTGTGCAGTGCACGCTCGATATACCGCCGGTCCTGGAGTCCCCACCACATTCTTTTTCGGTACGCTCGAACGTTGCCGTATTTTGTGGCGGTGGGGTTTGCTCGATGTACGACCTTTGCACCGGCTATTTTCTGGGCACGGCGGACATCCCGCGTTGTAGTGCCTGTGCGGCAGGGCGCCGTCACAGGTCGAAGACGTGTGGTGCTGTCTCTCCGTCTCCGGCTTTGTCCTGCTCGTGCGGGCGGCGACAGGGGCTAAGTGCGACTGAGCTGCTTGATAGTCGATTAGCGGCCTCCACCAGCCCTAGGTTGTGGGCATCCGAGACACGGGGGCATTTGACAGGGATTCTCACAGCTACGCAGGTGCTCCGGCTCAAGCTTCCTAGGATGGAAGAATGCCTACGAACTATATTTGGGCCTTCGCGAAGAGGTTAGGGGAACCGGAGTGATCATTTAGGCCTTTATTGCTTCCTTGCAGAGACGGCTGCCACGTTGATTTTGATGCGCCTTCGATGTGTCGTTGTTTGGAGGTTTACGAAATCCCTGCTGTATTTCTCACTTTTCGTATCTGCACTGTATTTGCAGCTGTGTGGATAAATGCGGCAGAAGTTTGAGGGCCGTACGGGATGTGGTTGGTTCAACTCTGTGCTGTATTGCTCACTTTTCGTATCTGCGTTATGTTCGCAGCTGTATGGATAAATGTGGCAGAAGTTTGAGGGCCGTACGGGATGTGATTGGTTCAACTCTGTGCCGGTCTCTTCACTGCATTCCCGCCGTCAGTACCTTGCCGTAAGCGCCAACTTTCGGACACCAATGCTTTTCGCTGTTCTGCAAACATTTTCCTGTGACATGCATACCACGATCGACTGCCGATGTTTTCCCCAGGTAACTCGCGGCCCCCGCCGGCACCAAGAATCCTCCGTTACCTTCGCGAGTACAGGCGGCTTGTTGATGGCTCGGCGAGCAACTCGTGGCCCACGTCGCTGCTGCCGGAGCTCCTCCGGCTGGTCCAACAAGGCAACAGTGCTGACGCCACCCCAACCAGCAGCCAGGCGACGCTGGGGGCACAAATGATGGGCCTCATCGGACACACTCTGGCCGGCGAAGAACGAGGTCGTTCAGACGTAGCGGCAGTGGCAGAGACCGCCGCCGCAAACAACCCTAAAGGAGCTCCAGTCCCTCCGTGGCTGCTTTTGGCCATGGTGTCTGCGGCGCAGAACCGAGGGCGAGAGAGAGGATCTCCATACACAGCGGAGGGTGGTGGTATACACGGAGTCCCGAGGTCCGGAGGGGGGGATCCGGCCACGGCCGCTACCGAAGAAGGGCTTAGAAACTCGCTGGAGAGGCGTGTTTCCGAGTCGCTGCGCTCTCTTAGCAGCGTGCGGGCCTTGCTGCAAGACCCCGTCGGCTCCGCCCGGCAGCACGTGGGGGACGGAAGGGTAGGTGCTTTGCGCTCCGCGGCGGATGACGAAGCGGCGATCAAGCTCGCGGCCCTGACCGCGGACGTGGATCCCGCGACCGCTCTCTTCGAGGGGACTCTTCGAGAGTGGCTGGCGAGTCGACGGAGGGGTAAGGGGGAAGGGCTTTCGTTCAAGGGTGGCCCGCGGCCCGCCGAAGGATCAGTTTTGAGAGGAGAGCAGCGGCCGTCCGGTATAGATTTGGGACGGGCGGAAGCGGCGGGTGCCGGAGAATCGCGTACCGTGCTTGACGGCGCGATGGCGCTCGCGTTTCGGTGCGAGGCCGCCGATGACAAGGAGGCGACGGTGGGTGATAGAAAACGGACATCCTGCGTGCGTTTGGTTTCGCGCGGCAGGCCGCGCGTGGCGCGTCTGTCTTGAGTGATCGGGCCGCCTCGATGAGACACTGGTTGAACTGGCGTACGTTTGGCAATCGCGTGACAATTTTCGGTGGCCCTGTGGAGTCCAGCACTGGGCTGCATCGATCGGTGTTTTTTCGTGAGGGTACTTTTCTTCCGTGACCGACTATGTGTTACCCGAGAAAAAGCATTGCGTGCGTATGTAGCACCAACGATGTGTTACCCGAGAGACGAGGGAAAGCTTCATATCTCGGCCTCTTTTTCCCGCTCACCTTGGGTTAGGGTTAGGCTAGGGCTACGACGAGTTGTGGTCGGGCAATGCAACATTTGTCGTGCTCGTTACATGCCCATAAAAAAATATTTACACCATTAAATATGTTTTGCCACCGTCGACATTCCCCGACGGTGACCTCCTTCTCCGCGGTTCCCGACTTTATTTTTTGTCTTGCATGTATGCAGGAGATCCCGTTTCTACGTTCTTTGCTGGAAGGCTTGGGAGGGGCGCAGGACCCCGGCCAATCACCGGGCGGCCTCGGTGGAGCCGCGGGGGGCGGCAACGGCCCCGCAAGATATGGTGGCAACGGTGCGGTAAAAGCCTCGCCGTCTTCGGCCTCTTCGACGTTCCTGTGTCTCCAGCTGGTCGGTGACGACAAGTCGCCGCTGTTCGAGGTTGCCTGCCGAGCGCTCTTCCGCTTGCTCCCGCGGGAGCTCCCGCGCTTCATCGAGCGGCTGGCCCGCTTTCGTTCCTACGCGGACGAGATCAAGAGGCGTGGAGCCGGGGAAACCGAAGCCGCGCTGCAAGACGTAAGCAGCGATGAGGAGGGGGAGGAGAAAGAGGAGGACAGGCAACCGCGTTTGCTGCGACGTGGGCGGCAGCGCACGTCGTGGTCGTCTGGTGACGCCAGGTCGGAGGCGACATTGAGGGGTAACGGCGGCGGCGCCGGCGCCGAATACGGAGATTCATCCACCGTCTCCGGTAGCGACGAACATCACCAGCACCGTCCAACGAGTCCGATGTCGCGTACCGGTACCGGTTCGCGGCACCAGAGTGAAGACAACGCCTCCGACTCCGGCGGACGAGTGGGCCGGCCCCCCACACGCGCCAGCAGCGGCGCCGGGACCTCTCGGGAGCGCTCACCGGAACAAGCCGCGCCGGCCCCCGCCTCCCCCGACCCTTCTTACTCAGGCGCTGCCGACGACTCCACTCACCCTGTCACCGCCCCTGCCGACGCCGCTGTATCTCACCACCAGCCCCCGGGAGAGGAGAGGTCTTATGGGGCCCCGCCCGTTGCGACGGCCTATTTCTCCCGCGCCTTGGCCTGCCTCCCCCCCGCCGTCGAGGACGACAGGGGCGACGGTGCCGGGTCCCAGCGGCGTCGCGCGCGCCTGTCCCTACTCCTTGGCGCGCGCAAGTTTACGGAGGCCTGCCGGCTGCTTCGCCACCGCGCGTGGGGGTGTTTCGGCGGCGCCGGCGCCGGCGCCGGTTCCAGCGGTAAGCGGGGCAGTTGGCGCGGCGACCGGGGGGCCGCTGAGGCGTGGGGCGCAAACATGAGGCTCTTGAATGAGCTCAACCGGGCGGCAGCGGCGGCAGCGACGATCGACAAGGCAGACGATGCCGCAGCGGCAGCGGCGGTGGCGGCGGGAGAAAGCGTCGGCGACATGACCGTTTCCGTATCTCGTGCTGCTGCCGCTGAAACGGCGGGCAACGGCAGCGTGGCGTTGCAGTTCCGCCTGGCGTTCGAGGACACGCTCGCCGAGACTATCCTCGAAGACAGCCCCGAGCGCATGAAGGAGGTCATGCTTTGCCGGCCGAGCGGCCTCACCCCCGTGAGGGTGGTGAGGATGGTGCGCCGAGCGGCGGAAGCGTGGGTGGCGTCGCCCACGGCTGTGGTGGCCGACGGGGGTGTTGGTGGCGGCGGTGACGATTCGGAAGCGAACCAGTCCCCGCGCTGCGGCTCTACCCAAACTCTCAAGATGTGCTTGTTGTTGCTCCTGGAGGATGACACGAGATTAGCCGTGGGTGGGGTGTAGAATGGCATGCAACGGTTGGCCGTGTTGAACGCTGGTCAGAGATTGTCTAGATTGCCGTGTGCCACAGCTGCTTCCCCAACTGAATTGAATTTGAGTTCTGGACGAGAGGTGAGCCGTAAGACTTCGTGCCCCCGGTGTCGGGATGGTCACCCACGGTCACCGCCAAGAGAACCACAGTCAGCCCCTGCCGCAAGAACCATTTTGCGTCCTTTAGTGATGAGGGCTGCTTTCCAGTCCTCCACTCTTAATTATTTGTTTTGTCGCCGTTTGTTTCTCGGTAAGTTTTACGATGGCGTGTGCTGGTCAGAGACTGTAAGGGGTCAGAGATTGCAAACTGTTGTTGTTGTTGTTGTCTTCACATTAAAAACCGTTCCGATCTCTCTCTACCCAGTACCTTCGTATGTCCGTACTGATCCAACACTCGACGCGGTCGATTCCCGTGGTCACAGGTTAACTTACCCTAAAAAGGGACACTCAAATAAACTGGCCCCGAGGGGTCCGCAAGTCAACAGAAATCAACGACAGATATTCTGGAATCCTCCACTCCCTCTGCGCGCTATGCGAGGTATCAACTGAGACTAGGAGTCACTATGGGTGATACTGTATATTTCTGTTGTAGAAAGCTGCGGTAATGTCGATCTCGACAGCAGGGCACGGGGAGAGGTTCGCAGTATTGACTTGAAGAGTGGCGTGTATGGCTTATTGCTTGTGGGCGTGCCAACGAGACCTTCTATCGCACGACGCGCACAAAGATGTTCTTTCTTTTCTCGCGGTTTTTGTGTCAGCGTCAGTTTCACGTCGGTACGTGTTTTTCGCGTGGGATTTGTTCCGCCGGCACCGCGTGTAGACACGTGACTTGTAGACAGCCAATCGACAAATACATGCCGGACCCCGCGTGACTCGCCCGAATGAGTGACACTACGCCGGCCGCCGGCCAACTGCAGTCAATGGCGAGCGCCGATAGATTCGTTCCCCACGATCACCCGCGGCAGGTGCGCGAAGGTGTCCATCGTGGCCTCTTTTTCCATATCGCATGCCGCCCGACATCTCCCAACATCCTGTTTCTAGGGGGTTGCCTCGCCCCGAGCAAAACAGCCTTCTAAAGGTTCCGGCCCGACCAAATATGAAATTCGATGCCTGTAAGGGGTGTTTCTGAACAAAATAGGATGCTTGTGCCGTTCCCTTACGCCGGGATGAGTACCCCGTACAATAACCTAGAAAAACCTGTCGAAATAACACGATCAGCAGTCCAATAACATTTTCGCATACTTTTCATTTTTCAATTCAAGTTTCATGGTATTATCGATTGCGCATCCCCTTTCTATCTGTTGTGATGGATCGGCCACACCGGGGTTTCTCCTCCGTAGCCTGCTCACGTCACCCACGTAGGCCTATAGGCTGATCCCGGCCGTCACTGTTTTCGCACCTACTGGACCTACCCAATTTGCTTGGAACCAATTGATACGCCATTGCTGAACAGCTCCTCTCGTTTTCTGAAGATGGCAACAAAAAAAGAACGTGCCCGTACCGACCGCGCCAAACTACCGCGGAACATCCTTCGTCGACACGGCACCTTCTGCCGCAAGCTACGCACATGTTCCCGAATCAAACCTCATGTCTTGATCGCCACTACGTGAGGACGACTTGCAACTGTACCTAACTCTATCGACAGAGCCACGGGCACGTTGCACTGCGGTGTGGCAACGCCTCAGTTGAGCTGCGCGTTGAAAAATAAGCAGAAACATACCAGCGTCGGATTGTGGAGGGGCTCAGGTGGAAACGACGTGAACGGACCACGACCGAAACGGCGACAACAAACATGAGAGTCGTTTCGATGCGTACGATGCGTCATTCCTTGTCGAAGGTGCGGTCCATGCTCAGGGCGCTCGGTCGCAGAGCACACGTGCGTTTGGAAGGAGACAAACGAAGGCGGCCTCAGAAGATGTTGCCGAAGACGCCGGCGGCCTTGTCTCCCTCCTCGACGGCAGTCAGAATCTCTGCCTCCGTAGGCCGCTGTTTCTGAGCACTCAACACCTGCGAAAAATTATCGACGGACGGGGCGATACAAGAACGTATCGGCAGACAGACAGGCAGCTGTGCTTTCACGAACGTCCTCGGAAAAAGACTGTTGGCGCACACGGTGAAAACGTTGGTCTGGAATGCTGACTCGTATAATTGCATCTCGACATTGGTACCAAGCAAACGACATGTTTTATCCTCTCTGCTATGTTTTCCGGAGCCCTTCGTTTTAGCTCCTTTCGCCTTACGTCTTCGTCGTGTCGACCGCACATCTTTTTGTCTCATCTCTCCCTTGAAAACCAATCTCACTTTGTGAGCAAAACTCAAATCTCGCTCGCAAAATCCACAGTACTCTATTCACTTCAATGAGCGACAACATTGGCACGAATCAAAGACGTTGGCGTACATTGGTAGGTAAAGAAAAAACAACTCCAAACAAGTTCGCACGTGGGAGTGTCTTAAAGTGCGGGCGAAGAGAACGTGGACCGGAAAAAGAAAGCGGCAGTGGGCGGTCACTTCGATCTGATCATGGCGTCGCCAAGCACTAGAGTGCGTGAACAGCAATTGTGAACTCAATCGGACTCTGACTGTGGCTACTTTCGTTCAGATCGCGGTGTGTACGAATGTCCTTCCTTCTTACCTTTGGCGGTCCCAGCTTGGGCTTTCTCGCTACCGTCCAGTCCTTGGGGTACGCCCGGTACAAAAAGTCTTCGTTTTCGGCCGCCACAGGTCTCAGGTGGAACATCGACTCAAACTCCTGGACAAAAAATAAAAGCGGGAATATGTGTTGGAAGGAGATTAAAAGACAAGGTAAGGAATCGAGTCTTCGTCGTCCCCGTTTCACGAGGTGGCCTAATCGCCTCTTCGCATGTCAAGAGAACCTCAAAGCAAGAAGCACGAGTAGAGGTTTCCGCAACAGAATGAGGGAGGCAGCGAGATAGGCGGGCGACCCTAAGTAGTTTGGGCAAATTTAACAAGCTTCACGGAAAAAATCAAACGTCACTCTTGTCGGTCAGCGAATCATGGCCAACGATGTTGCGGCTTTCTTCTCTCAACAAGAGTTTTGCAAAACAAACGCACGCTGTTTGTTCTATTGGCGTCCTCGCATCTAAATACTCGCCGCACGGGCATGACAGAGAGGCTGCAGGTACTCAAAAACACAAGCACCGAAGGAAAACTGTCGGTCGGTGTCTTCGATGCAGGTCGAAATGCACCATTTCGAGACTACCTACTACGGGATTACGAAGCGCGTCTGTGGCGGCGTTTTCCCAGTCATTGCAAATAAAACGCTTTGACGCTATCCACCCCGTGCTGCGGTATGACCCACCAAAAACACGAGAGCGACAATGATCCGAAACCCTTGGGGAGCACCATACGTCAAGGCTTTAGCAGAAGAAGCCTCACCTGCTCAAAGAACTCCCGTTGTTCATCATCGAAGAAGTCTGCCTGGAGGATTTCAACGCGGCAGTGCGGGTTGCATCAAATGGTGAGGGACGGGAGGAGGAGGAGGACGAGGAGTGAGCCCCCCCGTGGTCGAGTTAAACGCTACGGTCAGATCGTCGTTCAAGCGGCACACTCGCGGGAATGACCTCCGCGCGGTCGAACACCATGTGCACGGTCTCGAACACAAACACCGAAGATCGAAACAAACCACCCGAAGCTCTAGAACGGTCGGCTGGTGACATGAAAAGAGCCAAGGAGTGCGCTCGAACCAGAACCTAGCCTGTATTGTACCGACAATAACACCAACAGCAGAAAAAGCAGCAATGCGTACGATCACTGCGCCAAACGAGCCAGCAGTTAGACAGCAAAACGAGCCCACTTCCCATACGCAGAGCATGCCGCCCTCCTCGAAAGCTCACCTGATGCAAGCGCGCGTTCAGCAAGACGATCAGGCACCCCTGTCCGAGGTCCTTGGACATCTTTTGCACCGCCTGCCCCGACAAGCACACCCATGCCACCGCAAGCGCGGTTCCATCGGCGGTCGACCGAAAAGGGTGCGAAACATCAGCGATATCAATGCTTTACCAGAGGACACCCACAATTTCACATGCCACAGGGTGGTTAGCCCAGGAGCTTCTACTGGCCCAACAAGTTTCAAATTCACTTCAGCAGCGATTCCACGATCACGTCCCGGGCGGGCGAAAAGAATGGGTGCTTGCCTTCCGTACAAGCAGCACAGCCCACGGTTTCGCGCTTTCCGCGCCATTTTCTAGTGTCGGGTTATATGTTGCTGTCACCTCACCGGGGGCTCATTGCACGTTGCCTCTGGCGAGGGTGCAACCTGGCCACATGCGCTACACCTAACATGCATCGCCTCCCCCCCCCCCCCCTTCCATCGTGAAAAAAAAGCGTTCACGCGTGCATAACCCCGCACGAATACCCCCCCTCGTGCCCCCACCGAAGCGAAAAAAATTGAGAGCAGCCGCACCTTGAGCTCCTGCTGCTTCGGGGCCACAACAAGCAACACCTCGGTCCCTGGAGGGACAACCCTAGCCGTCGTCCCGGTCCTGCCCGGGGGGCCCCCGGGGTCCTTGCCCCCCCCCCCCTGCTGCTTCCCGCCCTTCTTTGTTCTTTTTTTTGGGCCTTCTTGGAGGCCTCGACCTGCATCGCGAAGCCGGCGAGGGCGTTGGTGTCCCCCCGCTTGAGCTTCGGTCCCTTGGCGGGCCTGGGGTCCATGCACGTGACCTTTCCCTTGTACGGGACCCCCTTGTTCCAGGCCTTAGTGGCCTTTTTCGCGTCTTCGTCAGTTGGAAAAGCCACCACCTTTTTTTTCAGTTGTTTCGTTTCGGGGTGGGGGGGAGATGGGCATAGTCTTCAAAATTACCACGTGTGCCGGGAGAGATAATGATGTAATCGATCGGAGTAGTTTGCTCACATGGACGTGGAGCTCCCGTCAGAAAGGCCTCCTATAAAATGGATACATTGTAAAATGCAGGGCCAAATCGCACGTGCATGCTCACCACTTGGTCTCCGATGACGTCGAACATCTCGAGGAACAGCCTCGCCAGTTCTCGGTCGGCTCGCTCCACGTCCGCAGCCGTGTACTTCTGCAACGGCCGAACAACAGGCGGGGTACAACAAAAATAGAAAATTGCGTCCACAGAACGTATGCAGAACAGGTAGAGAGAGGAGAGAGATTAGAGAAGGGAGGGGGGCGGAGAGAAGACCGAATTAGGCGTCGAGCAGTTAAAAGCACATCAGTGAAACCTGCACGATCACAGCGAAAACACTCACGCGTGCGTCCACATCACCGAAGCCTCGGCAGAATATTTATCATGTCGATATCCTACTTCTCCGTGCCTTGCGCTCACACTTCAAAAACGCTCGTCACTGCATTCTTACTGGTCGTGCCGCTTGCCCCGAATTCATGTTGGACACGCGTGCTTTGCGGGCTGAAAGACGTGCGTCTTCCAAAGAAATCGGTCGAACTTGCCATGACATGACTATCGGAGTTGTGGCTCATTTCGGGAATGGTTACGGCACGCTTGTTCTGGCATAGCACAGCAGATTTTCACGCCTGCAAGATACCAATCTGACGAAAAAGTAAACTCGATCGAGGTATGCATATGCGTATGCATGGAGTATGTATTAGAAAATTGCTTGCAACCCTGTTGTTTACTTTTGCAACAATGGCCTACCACTGGGCCACTCGCAGATGCACCGGAGTAACGTTCTAGAGCGGTTCTCCGAGGAGGGTGGGACGAAAATATAGCCCAGAACCGTGATACCCGGCACGTCCGGATTCCCTCTAGAGTACCGGCACAGCGCGCTCAGTCCTCCAAGGATGGAGCCATACCTTCTTGTCTTTGTCTTCATCGGACGTCTCAACGCCTAGGCGGGCGGCGAAGGGCAGGTCCACGTCCATGCGCGACTGCTGCGCCTTGAGCCCTTCCTGTGCGACACAAATATTGTGCCCCAGTACCACGCGACACAGCGCACCAAGTAAGCAAGAGGGCGGCAAACAGAGAGCCCGCCACTGGCAGCTGAAGTCGCCACACACACAAAGTACTTCATTTTTGATTCAGATTCTCCGGGGACGATGCCACTCGTTTGGTGTTGTCAAAGGCGGGGTGTGTACACAATCCGAGGATCTACCATTGGAGTTTTCTAATCCGAGTCTTGCGTATTCGCGTCCTACACGCGTGTTCGGGGTTTTGCGTTCAAAGTGGATCGCGTGGGCGTCAACCGACCGGTATTAGGGGGGGGGTGATGTACACCGTCAGCTTCCCTATCTGCCTTCCTTGCTGCCCTGTGCAACAGCACACGAGGAGGCAGACACCTTCGAAGATTGTGCCATAGATAAAATTGCCATTGCCTTTCTCTCCACGCCTTCGGGTCTGTACCGCCACTGCAGCCGGTCGACAACCCGTTCGGCGTAACAGCGGTGCTGCATGGCAGTTGAACTGGAACTGCGCATGATCCAAGACAAACATCGACCAGAGGGTATCATAGCATCCTTTACCCAACAAGACAGGACACAAACAACACCTGCACAGCGGCTCGTAAACAGGATACCGTATCCTTGATGTTGCGCGGTACAGGCGTGCTGGGAGTGGACATCTTCATGCTCTTCGTTGTGGCTCGTGAGCATGCGTGTCGTCGTCCATGGTGGTAGCAGCTGGGCTTGCCAGCTTGCAAACGCGACCCGGAACCAACCAGGAAAGGTCTCGCCAAACGCACACGAAAGAGCAGTAGTGCGCACGCGTAGAGGAGGGGCGTACACTTTCCCATGACAGCCGATGTCTAGAGGCGGGGGGTATCACGCCACGAGACAAGCACACGAGCAGAGAGGTAGAGCAGAGCAACTCTGGAGACAGAAGCACCCTCGCTCCCCCCTCGTTAAAATAAATGATTCTACGGAGCTCCTCAGAAAAAGCTGTCTGCACAGGGCGGAACAGGCATCCCATCGACAGCGTGCGGGGCGTGCGTGTTTGATTGACCATGATCAGGTGAGCAGCCAGGTTCGAACCTTTGCGATATCTAGGTGTGCTACGGCAGACTCCGTAGTTTCATGGGTGCCTGCCGTCGAGCAATGCGAAAGAGCGGACTCGCTATTGGCCCGAATCAAATGAGTTATTCCCACCGACCTCCCCTAGGACACGGGGATAGAGGTATGCAAAGGGCGAGCGAGTGCGAGAGGAGAAGTTCTAGAGGATTTGGACAGCCTGCCCTGTGGCCTCGTGCCTCGGGGAACCCGACGGCGAGAAGATCGAATTTGAGAAGTGTTTGCATGAGAGATGACGGTGCTCTCCTGGCAAGGAACCGTCAGCAATCTGTCCGCTCTCCGACTCTCGCGCGACCCTGGCCTCTCTCTCGGTCTCCCTGTTGAGGCGTAGTCGACCATGTCGCCGTGTTGGTTGTTCTCTGGCCTCCCCTGACACTCTACGTGATGGGAACATGCATCTACTTCTTAAATGGGCATTGGATTTTAGGCCAAAAGAGGAACCCCCAGTAGACAGACTTGCAAACCGCCGTCCTCCCCCCAGGGACGGCCACTGCCTCCACGCGCGGCCCGCTGCTCGATGTGTCACACACGAACACAAAGTGCATGCAGCAATCCCATCGTCAAACATGATGCCAGGCCGTGATTTGAGGCATTTGTACTACGGAACTTTGTTATCCAGCTATTGTCGTGGCTACGTGTACAGCCAACTGTACCTTGCCAATTTCCTAGTGAGACGTTCCGTATGCAGTATTCTCTCCCATCTACCGCACCCTAATTAGACCACAGCAAAAAGTCTGCAACATGTCACGTGTCGAAGGTTACATGTGTAGCTCCTTTTCTACACTGGGTTCACATATCATTGATTGAACAACTTCCTCGGGCACCAAGTTTGGAGTTTGCCTACAATGTGGTACCCAGAGTTCCAACATACCAATGATCCCCGTATATACGCCAGCGCTGGTGCACTCGCCAGTGCAACACATTTTGGGGTTGTCGTTGGAGGGAGACACGAAACCAAAGTCAACTACATAGCAGGTTTCCCGCCCGCAGGGTACGCCACGGCGCTAGACCTCACTAGGCCTAACCCACCCACGGTACCCCTACCCCTGACCTACACCTACAACCCAAGTTTGGTTGGTGCAGTAGTAGTGGGTAGGCCTTGTAGGTTGCTGTACTCTGTACCGAGCTCCTGGAGCGCGCTTCGCGCTCGCCAACGCTGGCGTATGTACGCCTCGCGTGGGTACCAGGCGCACCTTTTTTCATACAAGAGCAGACTGCCCTAAGTGGCAATAAGAAGGAACCCTCTGTTCGTGCTACTAGTGAGCAGTACATTGCAGAGAAGTAGCCACTCCTGACAGTGGCCGTTTGTTGCGGGGCGGTCACTCCTTTGTCATGACGGGGCGATGCCCTCGTAAGTGTTGATGAGCGTAGGTTTCCCACCCCGTGAGCAAGCGAGCACTGGATGCCAGCGTTCCCCCACCAGGGTGGTTCGTGGGATTCGGTCGATATGTAGTGCACCCCGCCCAAGTGACCTGTGGTGGCCCAGTGCAACCACATGCCTGCCCGGTTGGCGAAAGCCCGATGCGGGCCGCATGAACAATGCGATTGCGTGCGTACGGTGAGACATGACGCCCTTGGCTGAATCATGAATGCAAGCACAAAGTTCCCGTTGCATGTGATTTCCGTTTTCCAGGTACTTTATTCCCGCGGATGGGGATGATCCGTCGCACCCCAACGTGTTCCAGCTGCCCAGCGGGCTTGTGGGGAGCGGATCGGTGCGCTGCGGGGACGTGGAGAGACACTTCCCGTTACCCGGCCGGTACCACTTTCGCTTCAAGAAGAAATTCAGGGACGCGTTCGGTGGGTTGGTCGGCCAGTGGTTGGTTCGAAAGAGCTGGTTCCCTGGTACGCTGGCGACTGCCGCTACTTGTTTTTTATCACAAGGTTACATACTCCTTGCTTAAGATTTGTTGGGTTTGTTGCGTTTGCGCGAGCGCCAGCGCTTGTCTGTGTTGTTTTCACCACTCTGACTGCCATTGACGCACATTCAGTCCATGCACAACGACGTGGAGCTTCAGATATTTTGCCATGGCATGGCGAACCAATCTTGTCAACGCGGTCATCTCCACCACCTCATGCTTCATCCCGCGCTTTCCCGTGTTCCCTGGTCCTCCCACGGATCTGACGGCACTCTCACCACTGCCGGTCTATCGGGTTTTGATCCATTTGTCAGTGTGGGTTGACATAGCGGACCCTGGAGCAGCGGTGCCTTCATGCGACGGAGTTTTCACAGCCAAGATTACGCGCTTGTCAGACGGCCGAGGCGGAGGCGGGGTACCCCCGGGGAGAGGGGAAGCGATGCCCCCACCCCCGGCAGGCGTGAGACGAGACGTTGGCGGCGGCGGCGTTGGCAGCGGCAGCGGCGGTGGAGGTGGGTTCCTCTGACGGTGCTTTTCTTAGTGGGTGCTACGGTGCGGGGAAGAGGCGAGGGGGCGGGGGATGCCGGCGCGGGGGATGCCTCAGCGGGGATCGTGCTTGCCGGTGGTGGCTGGCCCGTTCGGTTTTTTCCTCGGTATTTCGTGGCAGTGTCTTTGAGCCCAAGCCTTGAAAAAAGGAGGTTCAGAGGGGGCAGTCGGTTGTTCTCCGGCGCCATGCACGCTGTGTTTCATCGCTGTCGCTGTCCACAGAAACTCGCACCGAGGTTGCCTCGAATAGGTTTGGCGAAGTGCGAGACCCCTGATAGGATATTCCGTGCTGGCCGTATGATTGGGGTGGCATAACCAGCAGTACGCTCTCCTGCATGTGCTTGCTGAGATTGCTTTGGGACTTGAGCTATTTAACGTTTTCGGTTCTCGCTGGCTGCCGCAGAGGTTCATACTAAAGTATTTGCGAGCGCACGTGCGTGCTTTCTTGCGACCCTTCAGCAGTTGCCGTAAAACGCGTTCCTCGAATCACATTCAACCAATTGTTGCGATGGGGTCCTTTACAAAGTATGGTAGGCCTTCTTGTTGCGTGTTGACGCCTGTAGAACACTGTGGAAGAGTTGCGTATCTGTGTGAGTTTTTTTCAAGTCGGGATCGATGGCCTTGACTGTTTTTTTGTTCATCACTTACACCACCGTCGCAGCATTTCTGCCGTGGTGTACGCTATTCATCTATGCATAGGAGCTCCAATCGGTGGTCTGATCAATGAAAATGGTCAGTCCCTTGTTGACCGCTAAACGCCTGATTATCCGGGGTCGCCGGCACGGCCGCCGCTGAACGACTTTGAAGGTGGAACCGTCTAGCTTCCAGACAAACAGTGCACAGCGTTGATAACGTTCTTGACGTGTTATTTCTGTTTGAACAAAGGATGCCAACATTTTCGTGAACGGATTCCCGACGCCTTGCTGCAGGGTTTGGCGGAGACGATCTGCTCAACATGGGGCACGGTATCGCGCCGGGGGGTGCCCCAGGGCCTGGCTTAATGGGAGGAGGCTCCCAGGTCAGTTCACCGCTCGTTGTACTGTGCGTCTCTCGTATATACCTGTGGTACACGCCTTGGCGTTTCAGCCTGTCTGTGATGTTTCCCGCTGTCTTCCTCTTCGGGTACCGCAACGGAAAGCTTGTCGGACAGTCCAACTTTGCAGCCAAGGCCTCGCCGTCGTAAGGTGTACTGCTCCCGTCCTTCGGGGGCATATGCGTTCACAGCTTCACATGTTGATCTTTGTGGCCAACACGTTTCCGTCTTCAGTAGTGCTGGACCGTCGAACTTACTCACCAAACCAAAAGCCCAACGATACCCCCCTCCCCCCGCCCACGTACCGGGAGCGTGACGCAACTTTGATGTCACGAGTCTTCGCTGTGAACGGAGTGTTGAGTTTTTTCGAGGCGAAAGCGCAAATGACAAAGGGGCGTTGTTGTTCGTTGCGGTATTTGACCATGGGCTGTACACCCCCTCCTTTAGGCTCCTAATTTAGACCCCGCCACCAACCCGGCGCCGCTCATCGTACGTTTCTGTTGAATGTCATGTACTCACTGGTAATTTTAATTCTTGGACGTAGTGCATCGTACATCTGTCCCCCTTGCGATTTTTCGCGTGTGGATACCCACCATCTGCCGGGTATTGATTTTCTCGCTTGCTTTTAGCGTGTAACACCCTTCCCAGGCCGGAACTCTTGTTTTCACTGTTTCTCCTAAAGAGGTCACCCCACGTGTTAACTACACATCCACCATCATCGCTGTATACATTTTTTCGGGTCTGACTCACATGGGGCACATGCAGCCGTGCATCTACGTCCTCCGACGTCTGACTGAAAAGCAGTTCAGACAATCCCTTCCTTCTGACGACGTGTAAGCCCCCTTCGGTTTCGTTGTTCCTTTTTTTTCGGGCTTTCACGAATCCGCCCGTGCCTCTTAGACCCTGCTTACCTCGTATCCCGTCTCGGACCCCCGCCCTGTTCCTCTTTTTACCTCTACTTCGCCAGCCCGACGATTTGCTCGGCATGTTTGACAGCTCACCATCGCAGGGCGTTCCCCCACAACAAACGGCATCAGTACCGTCGGCGGCGGGGGCGGCGAGACCGATGCCGCGATCGCCCCCCATGCACCCGGCTCCCATGTCTCAGATGGGGGCAGCGGGTGTAGCCGTGGGCGGCGGCGGAGGCGGCGCGGGCGGTGGATTCGGGGTGGGCGCGTCTGGCATGGGCGGTCATGCACCATCGGTGAGGATGTGAAGGGGGGGCACCGGGAGGTGGCATGCCGTGGTACCCATCTTTGGATGATTTGATCACGCGTCACACTGGAGATATGATGTGTGTCCAACGGTTCTTGGTCGCGGAGTAGACAGGGCCGGTATTTGAAGGGTGTCTTGCCGCAAGGGAATGTCGATTATCGCGAGGGCCCGTCCTCTCACGCTGAGTACACGTGTTGCTGAACTGTCCCTGTTGGCTGCATCGTTCGTACGTCTGGTGCTCTTTTGCGGTCGTGGTGGTGAACGGCGACACGGCCCCAACATGACGACGCCGGCCCTCCATTGGTACTATTGTGCGGTTCATGTCCAGTGGCAGCAGCAGCAGCAGCAGCAACAACAGCAGCAACAGCAGCAACACCAGGTGACAATCATCACTTTGTGTCTGACCCCCATGTCCGTTCCTGCAAATTTTGACTCCTTCCTCCCCTGCGCCAAATACTACGTAGCATGGGCGTAATGACCACACGGACTAAAAGGGTTTGGAGGCTGTGCTTTATCCTATACTTGTAACTGAGAGGATTTGAATCAATTTTGCCGATGGATTCTCAAAACCGAAATGGGGAAATAGTCAAGTTGGTTGAGAGTCAGCGGAAAACTGGCTTACGCTATTCTTCAATTTTACACGCTGCTTCCTCATGAATCGCGGCGAAGAGCGAGACAGAGTTTCAATTCATGAGTTGATGTTGAGTGGAGAGGTACTTGATATTTTGTCGAATTCGTCAAGTTGTAGTTTTGAAATTGCGTTCGCCCCATCGCTGCCGACTAAGGTTAACGCCAGAAGGGAAGGTATTACAGCCCCCCACCGTCCTCCATTGAATGAAGGGTTTTTCTTCATGCGATTTCGTGTTTATCCAGAGGCCCACGTTGGCCTTTGCTGCTCTCCAAGTTTTCTCCTTAGCCCCCCCCGCGCCCCGCGTCCTTTCCGCCCGCTCTTGGTGTTGGTACGTGCTTGTTGCTCGTTCCTTCGGCTGCTTGACACCTGAACCACTACCACTATACTTCACCAGCAACAACAACAATTCGCGAGGTTTCCTCCTCAGGGACGTGGGAGCATGTAACATGCGACAGGATCCGCGCTCTCGCAAGCCGTAGACATGCTCGCATCGGAGCCAGGGCATTTGTTGTTGGGGTTGGTCGGTTGCTTGCCCATTCCGTTGTGCCGATGCTGTATTCTCTTTGGAGTGATGCAGATCGAAACGCGTCCACTTCCCCCCTCGCCACCCTCCCTCAGCGGCGAAATAATACAAAGGTAGGCAGAGGCCAAATCGATCATCCTAGCATTTTTTTTATCTTTTTACGCAAACGCATACCAATCCACTTTGTCCTCTGCGGCACCCGAGAACCGCACTGTTAGACAGCACGAACAAGTGCAGCGGCTTGAAGTGGGAACGCAGTCAAATCCGGGCACTTTGGTGGGTTTCGTGGATTAGTTGTTGGAACAGCGCTGCGTGTGGGTGGTTGCTTCATTTGCCGGGGTCTTGGGCGTCTGCGGGCTGCTAAATAGCGGGCACGTCGTTTGTGTGCAGAAAATCAGCTGGTGGACCTACGACCTTCTAGCTTGCATACTGCATGTCTTCGTCTTTTCAGTAAATAAACCGTTTCACAACATTGTCCTTTGTAAGGTGCTTTTTTTCTTCTCCCAAGGAAGTGCGTAGGGCGCATGCATGCGTGTTGACCGACGTCATTTTTTTCTCCCCGGTTGACGGGAGCTTTTTGTTGACCACTGGAGCAATGCAGCTTGTTTGGGTCGTTTGTTTGCAGCACGGAAGTCCACCAGGTTATTCTGAAGCCTACGGGGATCAGTTTCCGTCAGCGAAATTCTCAGACCTATATTCGATTTTGACCCCAGTTAGGCCGCGTTTTTTTTACCCCGTTAGGCCGCATTTCCCGTTTATTTACTTGGTTTTTAGAACTGGCGATCTCCCGTTTCTTCTCTAAAAGCAAATTGTTTTCTTCGGTCGATGTTCTCGAGATTCCTCTGTCAGATTTTCGAGTGGGTGTGCCTGCTGCCCCCGTCCGGCTCTCCTCCAATTCCTCTAAGAGACCGTTCCGGTCTCCAGAGGTCTCACAGGATGGCAAAAAAATGTGTCTGAATTTGCGTGAAGGGAAAAAAAATATTGGGGGACTCTTTTGACGAGGGCTCTCATGTTTTCTAGTGAAACGACGGACGACGACTGTCGCGGCGTTCAAGAACTTGTCTTTGTCCTCCTCTTCACAGTAAAACATTACACTACTTCATAAGCATTGGACCATCCCGCAATGAATCGCACCCGTTTGTTTCATTAGTTGTTGTGACACGGAGGAGATCGTCAATGTTTAATCTTACGACGTTGTGATTGCCACCCTTGGCCTAAAGAATGGTTGGCACAGCAGACGACGTTTCCTTGGCATATTTTCGTTGGCCAAACAGCCGGTTTTTTCAAATGGTTGGCGCGGATGACCGTTTCGGCGGGTTATTTATTTATTAACATGATGGCCGGCACAGGAGGCTGGGGTCTCATCAAAAACGATCAGGTCGCCAAAAAATGATCGTTTTTTTTTTTTTGTCGCGTCGGTGTTGAGTATTTCGTTGGGTTGCGACCCCTTTCCCGTCTTTCTGACGATCGAGATGTTGCCGTTTGGGACGTCGTTTCGTTCTACGGGTTATTCTCTTATTTCCGTTTGCCGCGATTTACGTATTACGACCGACAACGCCAAGCCGTTAAATGATAAGATGTGGGTGTTGGTTCGGTGTCTGGGGTGACAAGTCACAACCGTTGCTGCGTAACCACCACCAGCAGAAGGACCGTCAAGCGCCTTTCTCTCTGTTCACAATAATGCACTCCCCCTGGCTCTACAGATGCCGGCGTCTCTGCTACATACGGTACAAGATGACTTTGCACGTACGTGTGGGCCGCGACGATATCGGGGGACGGCGGACACTTTGTACATTTATAGTTCATTCCACAGCTTTGCGAGTTCATGTATTGATTTCGGAAACTCTGCAAATTTCCGAGTGGGTGTACAGTAGTTCTGCCTCCGAATGATGTTCCTCCGACACGTGTCAAATGACCTCCGCACCATGTACCTGCCCTGTTCGACTCAACAATCCTCTCTCTTCAGCTACAGCAGAATACCCTTTGGATCACAGAATGCAAGCAATTAACCTCTCAAGAAAACATCCTAGCTGAAACTCAACGCACCATCCAACACCAATGAAATTCGCTTCCCGACAAAACTCGTGATACAATCCCAGTCAGTCTACTACCATCAGAGAAGCATCGCGTTTGCTGATTACCGCAACGAGGAAATCCAATGTCGGACACTACGCGCGTACTACCGGAGGATTCGGTGTCGCTACGAGACACTAGACTGCATGCCTTGTTGTTGCAAAGCTCTAGACTATGGATTCTAGGCACTGCGATTACCCTGTACGATACCTACACACCCAGTAGTGATTTTCACACGGGCGCCACTCCAATAACCTCCTAACGATGACGACCTACAGTACCAAGTTTCCTATACCTCGGAACGGTTTCCCACCCAGGTGGTAAATCTGAAATATCCTGTCCATATGTTACACCTGGTGTGTTTGGGTGCGGTACCTCGTCAGAGGCCGAAAGAGAAAGAAGGTTGACTCAAGACCTTGGTTGCTTCGAGAGTGAGAGACATGCGGCAGGCCACACCATCGCGCCATGCAGCATGTTCGTATGTCCGTCAACACATACCATCCGCGTATTCCCCGGAGGCCCCGTACAGAGTATACTGCCGAGCACCCCAAACAGCCCCCCTGCTCGGTATGAGATGCGATCTACGAAATCCCCGTTACGATTATCATTGCCAGGTAAAACGAAAATATGTCAAGCTACCCATCCAAACGAAAATCATCCACTAAAATAATATTCCAATCCAAACAATCCTCCAATAAAACATTGTTCTACGAACGAACTCTGTCGATCTCACAGTTCTATGAAATCTTTCAAATCTTCTGATGGTGTCAAATTGCTATCCCCTAAAAGGTCGGTCAGTTAACAAATCGCCCTCTTGAAAATATGCTCTACCAATTTCCCAAGTAGTCAAACGCCAACAATAACCCTTGGAAATAGAATACCAAGTAATACCAAGTAAATATCAACTTTACATCGGAGTTGCGTCAGAACGGGACGGGTAACTCCGGGAAAATGTGCCCCAACTACTCATAACAAACTCCCAGATAGAAATCATGTTCAACTCAATGACCAGTTAAACAAACCTTCGGAAGCACAAAGGTTTCAACTTTGACTTATCGAAACATGCCAAACCCCTCCTCCAATACACAGACATACCAGTACAAAAGCCCGCAAACAAACCGATGAAGTACATCCCAAACAAAACGTGTTCGGAAACAAGCGTCTAGAAAAAACGTTCATCAATACTGCTGCAGCTTCGAGTCCTCCATCTCAGCTTATAATCCATCCAACAGCCCCCCTGCTGGGCGTCTTATATAATAAACGCAGTGAATATACCATTTAATATTCAACTCCATATCAACTCCGCAGGTAAAAGGGGGCCTATGTTCCAAACGTCGACTACCAAAATCCCATTAATCACAACTCGAATCCTTAATAACTCCGCAGGGAAAACACAGAAAATCCAAACATGAACTACCAAACAAATACCCGATGTCAGAAATACTGCTTGTTGTACTGCGGAGGACAGCATGGCATCAGCACACACACACACCCATGATTTCCGACAGCAGTGCAACAATCAGGCGTGATTCCGCAACATCCAGCATGCCACGTCTGCATCCAATTTCATCAGATAAAACTCCAAACCAAAACAAGAAACCAAAACATATAAAAGAAAACGGCAATGCTATTTGCTCCACCGGTGGAGTAACCTCCTATTTGCTCCACCAGGTAGATCTCCACCCACAGAGCTCCAATCGACCTTAAACCAATTGCATCGTGTAGGTATCGACTACAGCTATCTGCAATGCTACTTAGAAGCTCAATCCGCCAGTGGCTGTAGAGATATGCCGAAAAAGGGGGTTCCGCAGCATGTCAGGAAGCAGTAATCGTCTCGAACCTCCGTCCACACCGCTCCAATTGGCCTCAACCCTTTTGCGTCTTGTCCGCACGGCCCATGCCGTTCTTCCAAGCTATCGGACACTCCCATTCGATATCTTCCCACAGTGGTATGGTCAATTGTCCCGCTATACCTCCCGTCACGTAGATAGCTGAACCGCGTCTAACTCGGCCTGCACCGTGTTGGCACGGCTCACAGCTATCATTGAAGCCATCGTCCACGTAAATCAGACCAGTGGGTGCAGAGAAACGGTTTCTTCCCACTCACTGTACAGACGACAGCACACCCCCTTCGACTGTGGTATTGTCTCTAACGGGTGGTCTTTCTGTGAGATTACGAGGGAATACAGTAAACCTGATGATGGAAATAGTGAAAAGTACAAGGAATACTCGGTGTATCTGAAGAAGGAATAGAGTGATCCTGA